AAGCTGCCCCACGCCAGCGTCAAAGCTCCTCTCCCTTCGCCTTCGTGGGGGCCAGCGGAGCGGCCGAGCTCTGCAAGAGGAGCGGGGCCACGGGGGAGGCACGTGGCTCGCAGCCGCCCCACTGCAGCTCAGCCTCTGCAGAGGAAGGTTAGGAGGAGTTTTAGCACTGCCGAGGGGGATTACTTCTCCTCGCACTCTCCCCGAGGTCGCCAAAGCATCCATTAACCTCTCACACCGACAAGAAAAGCACAGGAGTCCGATAAGTCATTCTGAAAACTTGTCGGTGCTTAAGCCTCCTCCACTCCTTCTCTAGCAGCAAGGAATAAAGATCACCAGGACCGACTTCAACGTGGCCTAAGCTGCTGCTGCTGCTGCCGCCCGCACACACTTCAGTGCGGCGCAAACGCTCTAGGGCCCCAAAACAGACATCGGCAAAACCCAGTTCCTGCAGCATCGCCCCAGCCCGCACTGCAATCTCAAGGGCAGTGGGTTTAGCTCGAGCGTCTTACTAAGTCACATAAGTGACTGGGAAAAAAAGCTTCCCCTATTTTGCAGTCGGTGTATTTTTTAGGACAGGTTTTCCCTCTCAGTGCTGTAGTTTGAGAACTGAAGTCCACAACTGCCCCCGGCCGGACTCAGTGGGCGGCCGCCCGGCACACGGAGCAGCGTGCTTGCTCGGAGCCCATGGGATCTCTGCGGGGGTTCTGGCACGTTGGGTTCCTTTGGCGCTGAGAAACGAGAGCAGCAGCATGGCCTGCACAAGGTCACAGAGCGAGAAAGGTGCAGGAGGGCTCAGCGTTGGCTCCCAGGCCCTCGCGGCAGCCAGGCCGCTCCGCCTGCCAGGGGGATGCAAGTGCCTGTGTGGATCAACAGGAGCTGGGACTGGGATATTCCGCAACCAGGGATCCAGTGAGAGACGCACAGCAGAAAGGGTGAGGGAAAGAACAAGCAACCCCCAACAGGGCAGTAGGGAAACGGGCCCCACGAGCCTGACCTTGCCCTTTGTGCTCGCCCACTGCTTCAGTTTCCGTCCTTCCTGAAAATGAGGCATGGTCCCAGGAGGCGTTATGAAATTCCCAGAACCACGTCATGGAATGAGAGCACTTAGAGGGCCCAAAAAAGAGCTCAGGGGCCGGGTGGCAGTAAAATCCCAGACTATTCCAGGAAATGCAAGGAGACATCCCTGAAATGACTTCCCCTCCAGCCAACAGGGGAAGGGAGGACCTCCCACCTCGCTCCCTGTACCCAGCCAAAACTAGGTCAGTGACACAGCCCTGCTCCCAGCCGGAGCGCCTCTCCCGAGCGCGGGATGCACGTCAGGGCCCAGCAGGGAGGGTGAGGATGGGGCACCGGTGCCCCCTCTCCGAGCCAAGCGCGTTTCCTGCGCGAGCGCCCAACCGGCTCTTGCTTCCTGCTCAGCACCGCCGCGGTGCCAGCTGGCTCCACAAGGAAACCCGCGGCAGCCTCTCCCCGGCCCTTTATCAGGCGAAACAAAGCAGAGACGTTCCCACACCTCATTCCCAAGGGCTTCCTCTACCCGTAGAACCACCGAGCCCAACTGCCCGCCGCCCTCCCCACCATCTCCATCAGAAGAGGCAGGAGAAGCCCTCGCCCAGGTCCTGGGGGGGATGGGGATGCCACGTCCCCGGCCTTCCCTCCCAGAGCCTCCTCTCTTCACAACCCTTTGCTTCCTTGACCTTGACACTGGTGCAGCAGAGGCAGAGCCCCAGCCTGGGCGCTCGCTCGCCCATGGGGTTGGTGGCGGATGCGGTGGGGGACCAGCCAAGAGGGGCAAGAGACCCCCCTTACCAGGCAGCTGCGGCCTGGTGGCCACGAGGAAGCTGCAGCACCCAGGGACCCCTGCGGATGGAGGGATGGGAGAGCCCTGGGAGGGCTGCAGTGCCCCTGGGAGAGCCCCAAAGAGGCACGGAGAGGCACGGAGGGACCCCGGGAGGCACGGAGGGACCCGAGCGCGGCACTCACCGCTGTGCGCGCTGAACCAGCGGGGCGCGATGTGCAGGGGCAGCGCGTCGGCCAGCGAGGC